GTTCGTGGGAGGGGGGGGGCGAATGAGTCCCCCCCCCCCCGGTCCCACTAAGCCCAAAAAAGCCCGGTCTAGATAGGGTTAATTTTGCTACATTACCTACATGTTGCATGATTCTGTAAGCAAACGAGGATCATGTTTAAAGTTAAAACTTTTGGTCCAACACAAAAAATTTTGAGTCTACCAACACAGATGAACTTTTATGATAAAATAAGGATCATCTTGATACATAAAAAAAGTACCTTCAGAACTTGAATCAAATTCAACAATTTCTATCAAATTGGATTTCAGTTTTCTTAAAAATGATTCTAATTAAACCTGCTGTAAAACAATCACGTAAATTAGGCTTCTACAGCCTGAAAAAAGTTGAATAATTATAATTGATTTCCAGGCTGTACAAACCTTCCTCTAAACATTTCGGTTGCTATGGAAGTATTTTTACCCCAGCAACAATTGCAATACAAACACGTAAGCCAGTAAATAAAATTTCGTCGGATAAAAAGTCTCCAGCTGTCGCGAATTCATTAAGCTTGACCATATTTAGATACGAATTACACAAGGTATGCTATTCTTATCCCATTCCATGTCTCATTTGCTTAATTTGCATTAATTTGCATAACGACCATTGATGACCTTGACCAAAGTACGACCTATCTTAAAATGATCAGGGAACACTGGGGTACCATTCAATGGTACTGGCCAAAGTATAAGGGAGTAGGCTACGCCAGGAGATTTCCTAATTATTTTTTGTTTCTCCTCATGGGCTAAATAACATTTTTTTTTACCTTCACAAGTTGGTGTAGCATCACTCCATGTCCCGTTCGACTGGCAGGCTATATCTGTAGTCCCATTCAGATGATAGCCGGCCATACAGGTATACCTGACCGTCTGTCCTAAAGTAAAGTTACTGTTGTTATCCCTCTTTCCATTGGTCGGCACACCAGGATCCCAGCATTGGTCAGTTGTACGGCCTGGAATGATTAAGCCAAAATTTAAGGCAATATATCTACTTTCCTACAGCTAATGTCACATTGTTTCTCGAAAAACCATTCAGATGATTAACAGTCCTAGGAAAAAAAAGTAGTTTTTATTGTACCGCAAACCATACATGGTTTTTATGACAAGTAAGGTATTGTAATGAAAAACAAAACGTACTTGTGTAGGAGAACTGGAACCCCTGAAGGGTGTTACTGAAGTCTGATGTAAACCTCAGGAACATTGTGTTAGATGTGCTGATGATGGGGCTGACTTGATGGTAACCTGATAACCTGAACATGTATAATCAATAAACGATCATCATTAGACAAAAACTCTTGTAATATTATGGCCTAGACTTTTTCGGTGATCCAAAATACAAAATAAATGTCAAGCTCTTAAATAAGTGACTTGATGACACACAATGATCGATCATTTATTTATTCACATATACTTATTGAGTATTGGGTAGAAAGCAAAAGTTGCTTATATAACACATTCTACTAAAAACATACAACGAGTATAAAACACATTGACGAAGTACATGCATAATTACAAGGTGGATAAAGAGATAAATACAAACAAGACAAGTTTGAGATCTATCAGTTACGAGAATCTAGCCGTACAGTAAATGAAGTTTTGAAATATATCAAAAACATTACAGTTTTGTAGGTGTGAGAGTGATGATCGATCATTACCACACATGTATGTAGTTTCAAATCAGAAAGCTATGCGCTATGTGCTAAGGGCATCACCTTCGTAAAACTGTAGCATTATCACTGGCTCCATCGTAGATGGTCAGAATGTCATATCTCCGAGTGGCGAAACTGTCGAACGTGAGACGAATGATGCTTTCTTCTGGTACAATGATCACCCACCTGACGTTTTCATTGTTGTCATAGTTACTGGGATAGTTCGGTGACGTCACAGGGCCTCCAGAGGGTCCCGTCATGATACTTCCTACTGCAGAAAAGTTAACCCGATATGTAGCCTAAAACTGAGACATTTACTTGAAAATTTACTTAAAATAATTTTCATGTTGTGTGACATGATGACGTAGGAAAGAATAGATCGTCCTTTTTGGACATGTGCCGTTTCCGCTAATGTGTTGTTTTTATTACCTTTGCTAAGAACGTTTATGTTTTCAGAGGCGTTCGTGTATGTGTGTGTCCTTCCTTCCGTCCGCCCTTCCTTCCTCCCTTCACGGCACGATAACTTGAGAAGGCCTTGATGGATTGTCTTGATACTTGGTAGGTGGGTAGGTCTTGATAAGACAAAATGATTAGATTTTGGACCCCCTAGCGGCTTGTTATGGTATTGCAGCTGAAATTCAGGTTTTGATATCTCATGATCTAGACATCCTAGGGTGACGAAATTTAAATTCTGGCTAGCTCTTGTGCTGGGGAAGAAGTGACGTGAGTTTGGGCTCCCTGGCGGGTTGCTCTGGAACTGCAGGGCTATCTGTTTAAGATTATTAAAAAGAGGATAACTCAAGAACCGGTTAACAGATCGTCGTGATTTTTGGTATGCAGGTAGCTTACGTGATGCTAAATATAATATGTGAAAATTATGCATATATAGATGTAATTTGCATAATTTATGGGGAAAGTCTATTAATCAGCAACATTCCATCATAGGACTATTGAAGCTTGTGACATTGATAATTGAGAACGAAATAAACACAGGCACATATTGATTATGTAAATGAAGACTTAACTTGCATAATTCATGAGAAACTGTTAATGATTAAAATTTGCATAATTAATGAGAAACTGCCTGGAATTTCATACTTATTGTATTTGAAAGTTCTGTGAATGTGAACATCATTAAACAAAATGTATTCAAATTAGAACCCCATTTGCATAATTTATGAGGAAATGCTAGAATGGCATTGTTTGTCCATATAAGACTGTCGTTTGGTTGAGAATATGATAAACTGAAAATGAGGATCCTATCTTTTACTCGCTGTGATTGGCTAATCCATATACCCCACCCATATAAGAAGAAAGCGGGTTGATCACTGCGCAGAAGCGAAAGACTCATCCCCACAGCCGGTCGCCCGGCGCTTGGGCTCCGCGGACAGGAGCGGGAGAACAGAACGTGCAAGACAGACTGCCAGCTTTGAATTGAGTTTTTGCTGGATTACAGAGGAGAGCGAGAGCTCAGGGAGTAGGGAAGGTGGAAGGTCAATGCGCACTGAAATTTTCCCTGTTTTTTGTTGGTGATTTTGTAGTTATAATGGATTCGGAATGATTGGAATGTTCGAACATGTGTATGAGAGTTGTCTGTTCTTCTCGCAGGCGGGGCGTGCTCGGGCAGTATGTATGGCGTACAAGTGTTACCACGCCTCAGTAGAGAACGACATCTAATTTTGGGTGTGTTGTAGATGTCTCAGGTACCGGTTGTATCGGAAGCAGGACCGGGAGGAGGACAGGGAGCAGGGTAACAACGTTAACCCGGCGCCCAGGGAGAAGGAAACCCCGGCGGACAACAGCCCAACAAGTCCAACGACATCTGCAAGGTGGCGAACCATGAGGGACCGCAGGGACCACAGCCACAGCCACCGTCTGACGCCTTTCAGTGGAGATGCGGCCGGAGCGGCGGTACAAGATTGCGGGGGTCAGCGCTATGATGACCCAGGATGGTACCCAGCAAGAAGAATGTGTGCCGCGGGGCGAAGCCGCTCGGCCAGGAGACAAGCTCAGGAACCAGTATCAAAACGGGTAATTGGCGAGAGTTTGAATGTGTATCCGTAACAAGCCAGTCGGGACCGAGTAGTGGACTCGGTCGGAAACTTTGTGTATAGAATTTTTTTAGAAAGCATGTATGTCACTGCAAGAGGTGCAGGCACATTGCATATGTTTACATGGGAATGCCCATGGCTATAGAACACGACATGGTAAAGGATTTCAGATAAGGCAAGCTGGTGATATAATAGTCGTACAGTGGAGAAATTAAACAGTGCCAAAGTAAACGGAGGAATCAGTACAGACGGGAATGGCCCGTTGATATGCAAATAGGATTGGATACCGGTGAGAACACGTGCGGTACACGTGTGGCTGGTACGGTGTGTCGTGTTGTATCTGAGGTCGTGTCTATACGGAACCACCCAAGGCGCGATTCGGGTAACTCACATTCTTCACATCTGGTCCACGTGCCACACACACCTGCGAAACCGTGTCCGAACATAATGCGCTTGAGCTACATTTATTGCTGTTTGATGATAACACGCAAGGCGGCGTGTTATTAATGTCAGAGGTCAACGACCTGCTTGCTGATGCCCCCCTCCCAGCGTATCTCGGCCGAATGCCGACGTGGTCCCGCCAGAGGCGGTGAAGCTCGCCCTAGAACGGACACATTATTTGACCATTACTGCTCTTTAAGTTGCTGCCACGTAAAAGTTGGTATTGCATATAAAAAAAGAAATATCACTCCGTAATCCATGACCAGGCGAAGTCACATTGAAATCACATTGCGTTCAGACGCAAATCGCGATGCGGGGAAAGCGATTCGAAACCACCTCTAGAAGTGGCTTGGGATCGAGGCGCTTTCAATGTGATTTCGGAGCGTTCAGATGGAGCCACTTGAAACCGGCTTCGGGGTAAACCACATGTAAACCGCCTTGGGTGGTTCCGTATAGATAGGGCCTGAGGATCAGCAAGGAGCTTTCATGAAGCTCCTTGGTTGTATCGAGCATGGCGGGAACTTTTTTGCGATGACTGGATTAAAATGGATTAGATTATTGGATTAATGGATTAGATTAGTGTTATGGTGTTACAGAGGGTGAATGGCACGCCTCTAAAACCCTCATGTATTACAGGCAACACGTAAAAGGATTGCCAGTCTGGAGGCAACAGTCCAGTGGGCAATGGGTCCACGGAGGCGTTCCGAAAGGAAAGCATTCGTACGGTAGAGGTAAAGGGAGAAAACGAAGACGAATGGAAACAAGAAAAGATAGGAAAAGCGAGATAAGAATGGGGAAATGAGAACGATATAGTATCGTATATATGAGAATGGGAGATAGTGAGTGAGATTGGAAGAAAAATGAATAAAGAAAATTTCATCACATGTATAGCGTTTCGAGAGTCTCGTATATATTCTCCAATTATTACTTAAAAAGGACGGACATTGGGTAAACAGAAAGGGAGAAGAGAAAGAAATGATAAGATTGGGAAGCGAGAAAGAAAGGATAAGATTGGGAAAAAGGAGGAGGAGAGGGGAGAACGGAAGGAAAAGAGATAACGAAGAGAAGGAGCGCGACTCCAGGCACTTCCCCATAGCTTCATATGGATGAGCCAATCACTGCGCGGAAAGAATAGGTAACTATCTTTCACGCGCTGTGATTGGCTAATCCATATCCCCCACCCATATAAGGAGAACGCGGGTTGATCACTGCACAGAAGCGATAGACTAATCCGCACAGCCTGGTAACGCGGCGAGAGGCATCTTGGGATAGAAAAGAGAGGGAGGTGAGGGGTGAGAAAGAGTGGGACGGTTGTTACGAGCAAGGAGGTTCAATACAAGAGGGTTCAAACTGTATTGAATCTCCTTGTTACGAGAGACTAAGAATAGGTGAAGACAAAAGCGCCCACCCACCCATCCTTCTCCACGGTACAGGACAGAGATGGATACGAATCATATTGCCGCGCGACTCCAGGCACTACCCCATAGCTTCATATGGATGAGCCAATCACTGCGCGGAAATAAAAGGTAACTATTTGCACAATCAGGGGGGTTAATATATAATTTGTCACCCATAAAGATGAACATCATCTGGCGAAGGTATGAGATCGGGGAACTCTAGTTTGTAATTGAGTTGTGAACGTTAACTGCCTGGTCGGCGTCATATTTGTAGGTAATGGTTTAATACGCCCGTCTAACTTTGGTGGTTTATGACAGGTGGTGTTAGAGCTAAAACGGTCCTGCTGGTGTATAGTCAAACGGCTGACATTTTTACCCTTAAGCTGACGATGTTGTGTATGTTACGGTCTTGCTGGTGTAAAGCTATTCAGCTGACGGATTTCAGCATACGGCTGTCAATGCTGTGTATGTTACGGTCTTGCTGGTGTAAAGTTATCCAGCTGACGGATTTCAGCATACGGCTGACGATGTTGTGTATGTTACGGTCTTGCTGGTGTAAAGTTATCCAGCTGACGGATTTCAGCGTACGGCTGACGATTTGATTTGATTTGATTTATTAGGCTGATAACACATATGTAAGCAGCCAGGACTGCCCAACTAGCCGGAGGCTATTATAAAGGGCTAGCCCTCACAACAATAACATAAACAATTCGGAACAGTTAACATTGTCAGTTACAATTGAGATAGACATACTACTACTACATAACAGATGTTGTGGCCAAACGTTAACAAGCTACAATATCCGGCCTGGTCGTCGTGCGTTTACTACAATTACATTTATATGTCAGGTTAATATACTATTACAAAACAGATGTTGTGCACTATATTTACACTGTCAATACAATATTATTCTATTGAACTATTTACTAAGTAGTTGTCGTCAAGTATTTATCAAGTATTGTCCATAGTTTCTTTTTAAAGGAGCTGATGGAGCGGGTTGTTCGAGTTTCGCTAGTGAGAGTATTCCAGATAGTTATAGCTCTGATTACAAATGTTCTCTGGGATCTGGTGGTTCTACAAACGGGTATGGATAAGTGTTCACTATTCCGTAATGGATACCGAGATTCTGTGGCGGACGCTCGCGCTTGAGGTAGCAGACTTTGCAGGTGTGGAGGACAGCGACCGTTCAACAGTTTGTACATGGTTACTGCAGTGTGAAACTTGCGTCGAAACTGGAGAGATGGTAGAGACAGTTCTGTGTAGAGACTATTGTAGGAAGGGTATGGGATCCCAAAGTGACCACTGATAAGCCTGGCTGTTTGGTACTGTACAGATTCTAAAGTCCTTTGGTCACGTAAAGTGAGGCCAGCCCAGACAATATCCGCGTACTCTAACGTAGGTCTTGTAATGGTGATGTACAGCCGGAGCAGTAAGTTTTGGGGAATTTTCCTTCTTAGGGCACATAACAGTCCTGAAGAACGTCTTGCTTTGTTAGAGATTACCTCGATGTGCTGTGACCAGGACAGGGTATTCGTGAGAGTGACGCCTAAGTGTTTGTGGCTGGTGACAACTTGCAGTACAGTTCCTCCTAGGGTCACAGGGGGAATCGGTTGTGGTAGAGTACGAGTTGTAATGAACATGACTTTGCACTTGTCTATGTTAGCTTCTAGTTTCCATGTAGAAAGCCAGGTCGACACAGTACTCAACTCTCGGTTCAGTGTTTCAACTACGCGATGAACAGAATGATGGGAGAATGACAGAGATGTGTCGTCGGCAAATAAGTTGGCCAGACAATGTGTACGGCTGGTGGCAAGGTCATTGATGTAAAGAATGAAAAGCGTTGGTCCTAGGACGGAACCTTGCGGTACTCCGGCTAATGGGGACTTCCATGTAGACGTTGCACCCTGGATGACCACTCGTTGTTTTCTGTCTGAGAGGTAACTGGAGAACCAGTCATGCATAAGTCCACTGATTCCATATGATTTTAGTTTGGACAGAAGTCCTGCGTGCCAAACCTTATCAAAGGCTTTCCGAAGGTCTAGAAATACACAGCCCACTATTTCTCCTTTATCCATTGCATCAGTCCACTCCTCTACCAGTCGAGTCAGCTGGAGGGTTGTATTGTCAAGTGGTCGAAACCCGCTTTGGTTGTCAGTTAATATCCGGTTGACATGAGCCGTTAAACGTTTGTTAACAAGTGTCTCTAGAACTTTTGAGACTGTGGTAAGCAAGGATATGGGCCTGTAGTTGTTTGTGAGGTGGCGGTTACCAGCTTTGTGAATGGGTGTTACGTTAGCCTTTTTCCATTCTGTAGGAACTTGGCCAAGAAGGAGAGATTTATTGTACAGACGAGTTAGAGGAACTGATATCGGGTCGGAAACTAGGCGTAATAGCCTCGGAGTGATCTTGTCGTGACCACCTGACTTTCCGACTTGCAGGGTGCGCAGTTGCTGGCGCACCTCTTCCTCTGACAACTGAAGCGAGTCTAGAACAGATTCAGGAACAGTGGTAGGTTGGAACGTCGGGATTGGATCGCTTCTGCCAGGAAGGTCTGTTTGTTTGATAAAGAAATCGTTCAGAGCATTGGCCTTCGCTTCCGGGGTTTCTAGTATTACCGAGTCGACTTGAAGGGCCGGGATGCCTGTTGAGGTCTTTCCTAGTGCAGATTTGGCATAAGTGAAGAACCGTCTGGTGTTTCCGGTCTCCACGTCGTTCACGAGATCCTCAATGTATACTGTCTCCGACCTTCTTGTGAGATTGGTCACAAGATTTCTTTGTCTTCTGTAAGTGGCCCAGGCGTCCTCGGTGTTCAGCCGTTTTGCCCTGGAGTGCAGGCGGTGTTTTCTACGGATAGCGGCTCGGGTTTGTTTATTGGAGTATATCCACGGCTTTGCTGTCCGGGTAGTCGAGATAAGCTTGTGAGGAATGTGCCGTTCGCATATGGCAATAAACATGCTGTACCAAGAGTCCCAAATGTCATCCATAGAGTCGAAGATAAGGTTTATATCCCAGGGGGCTGTTGCGATGTCTTGATGAAGGGCCTCGATGTCAGCTTTGTCGTATAACCAAACTAGACGTTTACCGCTGTGCTGGCTTGCCTGTATGGTAAGCGCTGTGGCCGTTATTAGATGGTCGGAGTCACTAGAGGCGCTAGTGTGCCCGTCTGGTAACACTTTGCTGGATGAGAAGTCGCTATCAGGTCCAGTAGGTTCCCTCCCCGAGTCGGTTCATGAAGAACCTGTTCCAGTCCATGATTCAAGAAGAGGTTTTCAAGTTGACGCCCCGGGTTGTCAGTCGTGTTGCTGGCTAACCAGTTGCTGTTCTTAGCGTTGAAGTCTCCGAGAATGACTTTAATAGACTGTGTTTGGTTCGTGGCTAGTCGCACTTGACCTTCAAAAGAGTCGAAGAAAGTGTCATCTGCCGAAGGCGGTCGGTATGTACAGTTGATTAGAAGACTGGTGTTGGCCTTTGTAATTTCACACCATATAGATTCTAACTCATCAGTTTCCAAATCACAACGCCTTGTATTGTACAGGTAATCACTGACATAAATCATAACGCCACCTCCGCGTCTGTTTCGGTCTTTGCGGTGCGCCTGGTATCCTTCCAGTGCAATGTCGCTGTCAGCTATTTCATCGCTTAACCAAGTCTCTGTTATGCATAAAATGCCAAATTGCATGGTAGATGATAAGGATCTGAGTTCATCTATCTTAGGAAGTAAGCTCCGAGCGTTGAGGTGTGCTATTGTCAGTAGGTTTTTGGAGTTCGAATTCAGGAGAGTTTCGGACATGTCTGACGCAGGGTCACATGTTGTATTATGGCTCAGTGTGGGATCCATTAGCATAGTGAGGTCGAGTTGAGTAGCTTGTGTTTGCACATTGTTAGTTCCTATTCGCAAGGACAGAGCGACTAGAAGCAAAAACCAAATCAATTTCAGAATGTGGTCGAACATTATGTCAGTTACTTGGCACCTTTCCTCCCCCTTTTCCGCGAGGACGGGGCACTTTTGGTCTTATAGGTCACTTCGCGGTTACCAGAAAGGGGGGACACTTTGCCTGTCCCCTTTGCCGTCTTGCCTGCCTCTTTCTTGATCTTTTTGTCGGGTCGTCGTGTTGTATTGGAGTCTTCCGACTCACTTGGGCTTGACTCACTTGGGCTTGACAGAGGTCGTTTGATGGCGCTCTCATCTTCTGACGATGTTGTGTATGTTACGGTCTTGATTGCTTGTGAAAGGGATATGTATGATGTCTTTTTATGATAATGTTAAAATTTAGCTAAAGGTGTTGTTTAATTTATAAAGATATCATATCGTAATAAATCTTAAATAGTATACCCGGATATTTCTTCTTGTTTTACACGTAGATACATGAATTGGCACTGACATGGTCTACTAGTTTGCGAAAGAAAGTTTTGGTTTTACCAAATACAACTGTCCTTGATACTGCTGCGGATCTTGTGGATGTCGGCATTTGACCTGGTTAGCCTTAGCTATATATAATGTATGCATGAAAAAAAGTTATTGATCTCTTTACTTTAACTGTTTACACTTCAGCCAAAAAAACGTTCTACTTTGCGCTTGGAAACTGCCCATTCTTTATATCACAACTATAGACAATCTGGTGACATATTTGTTTGCAATTTTATAACATAAAAGGTAATATATGCAGCATAACGCACGGATTATCTCAACCTCCTGTGACACCATGCGATTTCAAGCTGATTTTGTTATGATTAAAATATTACAAGATTATTTTCAGGTTAGATAAGGGACACATAAGCAGGACCAATCATTATGTTTCTTTGAATATTGCCTTTAGTGTGAAAGATAGACTTAGTCCTTAGGGTACTCAATGCCGCATTTGTCACTTATGGGATATGTGTGTAAAATACTGTATACAGTAAACCAGATAATCAAACTTTGATGTCTATAATGTATTTTGATACCTTCACAAGTTGGTGTAGCATCACTCCATGTTCCGTTAGACTGGCAGGATATATTGGCAGTTCCCCACAGATGATACCCGGCCATACAGGTGTACCTGACAGTCTGTCCTGGTGTAAAGTTATTGTTGTTATCTCTTGTCCCATTGGAAGGGACACCAGGATCCCAGCATTCGTCTGCTGTACGGCCTAAATGAAAAAGAAGGTTGTGTGAATTTCATCCTGCAGTTCTGCCTGGAATAATTAATGAAAACAATGTAAGGTAATAAATCTACTTTTTTAAAGCTTATGTTGCATTGTTGTTTAAAAACATACAGATAATTAATAGTCCTAGGAAAACAAAGTAGTGATATTGAAAAGCAAACTATAGATGTTTATGAGAACCTTTAAAGACATTACTTGTGTAGTAGAACTGGAACCCCTGACGGGTGACACTGTAGTCAGATGTGAACCTCAGGAACATCGTGTTAGATGTGCTGATGATGGGGCTGATTTCTTGATGGTAACCTGATAACCTGAACATGTATAATCACTAAACGATCAAGATATGACAAAAAATATTGTAATACTATGGCCTAGATTTTTCCGTTATCCATGATATATATAATAGAATTAAAGCTCTTAAACAAGTGACTTCACTAGCACACAATGATAGATCATTACCCTCACTACAATTCACGTCGTTTGAAATCAGCAAGTGGAGTCTTTTGGAAAATGTTGGCTATGTGCGAAGGGCATCACCTTCGTAACTGTGTAGCATTATGACTGGCTCCATCGTAGATGGTCAGAATGTCATAAAATCTCTCAGTGGCGAAACTGTCAAACGTGAGACGAATGATGCTTCCTTCTGGTACAATGATCAACCACCTGACGTTTTCATTGTTGTCATAGTTACTGGGATAATTCGGTGACGTCACAGGGCCTCCAGAGGGTCCCGTCATGATACTTCCCACTGCAGAAAAGTGAACCCGATATGTAGCCTAAAACTTGGACACGTTTAATTTCGAAAATGTACTTAAAATAATTTTCGTGTTGTGTGACATGATGACGTAGGAAAGAATAGATCGTCCTGATTGGACATGTGCCGTTTCTTCTAATGTGTTATTTCTATTTGTAAATGAGTTAAATAGTATACCCAGATATTTCTTTTTGTTTACACGTAGATACATGAAATGGCACTGACATGGTCTACTAGTATGCGAAAGAAAGTTTTGGTTTTACCAAATACAACTGTCCTTGATACTGCTGCGGATATTGTGGATGTTGACATTTAATTTTTTGCCCTGGTTAGCCTTAGTGTATGCATGAAAAAAGTTTTTGATTTCTTTACTTTAACTGTTTACACTTCAGCCAAAAAAAACGCTCCACTTTGCGCTTGGAAACTGCCCATTCTTTATATGACAAACGTAGACAGTCTGGTGACAGATTCGTTTGCAATTTTCTAACATTTCTAATACATGCAGCTTTACATAACGCACGGATTATCTCTACTTCCTGTGACACCATGCGATTTCAAGCTGATTTTGTTATGATTAAAATATTACAAGATTATTTTCATGTTAGATAAGGGAAACATAAGCAGGAACAATCATTATGTTTCTTTGAATATTGCCTTCAGTGTAAAAGATAGTCTTAGTCCTTAGAGTACTCAATGCCGCATTTGTCACTTATTGCATTTCTGTGTAAAACACTGTATACAGTAAACAAGATAATCTAACTTTGATGTCTATAATGTATTTTGATACCTTCACAAGTTGGTGTAGCATCACTCCATGTCCCGTTAGACTGGCAGGTTATATTGGCAGTTCCCCACAGATGATACCCGGCCATACAGGTGAACCTGACTGTCTGTCCTGATGTAAAGTTACTGTTGTTATCTCTTGTCCCATTGGTCGGCACACCGGGATCCCAGCATTCGTCTGCTGTACGGCCTGAAAGAAAGACGCCTGTGTGAATTTCCTCCCCTGCAGTTAATGCTGCATCATTCAAATAAAACACATGCGAATCTTAAAGAGTACCAACAGAAATAACAATTTGGAAACCTAATATATCCATAAAATACGTAAAGGTTTTGTAATTTTTTTTTATTTGCATAATTTTTTTGGGAAGCGGTGTTGTAATTAGCATAACCACCTCGACCTTGGTCTTTTCTAAGATCTACGCACATATAAAATATCATCACAATTTATAAAGGCCTTCTTAAGTTATGCCGGCTAGCCTCTACCAGGCACCGCGGGTCACTCGAAAAATAGTAGAAATTTGCCAAAATAAAGAAATGATATACCAGGAGAGTTAGCCGGCCAGAGAAAATCCAAATGGCGACCCTTGCCGACCCTGGTAGACCCACCACAAATATGGGAATGTTTTTGACAGATTTTACCGAGCAGTTCATATTAAACAGCACATCGTGTAACAAAGTGAATTGAAAGGCAAGAAGTGTTATCAAAGGCCTTACTTATGTAGGAGAATTGGAACCAATAGCTGGGGTAACCGCTGTCAGGTGTGAACCTCAGTAACATCGTGTTAGATGTGCTGATGATGGGACTGATTTGTAGATTGTAACCTGATAACCTGAACATGTATAATCAATAAACGTTAAAAATTTTAAATAAACCATTGTAATATAAACACCTACATGCTTTCGTTATTTATAATAAATTTAAGATTTTAACTAGTGGCTCGACTAACACACACTAATCGATCATTACCATTGCTACATGTACGTAGTTTGAAATCAGAAAGTGAAATTCTTTGGAAAGTGTTGGCTATGTGCTAATACCCCCGTCACATTGTCGACGAGCTTCGGCCGTATTTGTCAATCGCCGAAAGATCGGCCAGTTTTGAGATCGACCGACGATCGCGCGTATTTTTGACTTGAAAATCGTCGCGGTCACATTGTGCGAGGCTCGGGCGATCGCTTCGCAATACATCTATGATAATGAAGTCCCTATGACATGGCACGCAGATAAAGCAAGGCCGTGTATCCACCAAAAATGAATAGTTTGACCAATCTTTATGTTTTACCTGTCGTTATATTTTTGTAAGCAAAGTAATGGAGCGGACTGGCAGAATAAAATAGAAATACAAACAGGAATTCTGTGAAGGATCCAACTTAAATACTACCACAAGAGCCACAAATTTACACTACCGTCTGGTTAACACAACGACCACCTTTTTAACCAGACAGGAGTCGGCCGAAGCTCGCTCGACACACGGGCGTACGTCGCCCGAGTTACGGTCGACGATCTATCGATAATACTGATTATCATGATATCAAAATCTTTTTATACACGCGTACCTGAACAAAGCTAATAAGATATATTGTTATATATCTTATTATATAAAACTTTGCCTGTATACTTCTGTCTAAAATAGTATGAATCTTCCGGTAAACAAGCCATTTAATGTCAACAAAGTAGACAGAGGTAAAAAGACCCATGCAATATAAACTTCAACTAGTAAGTAATATCTATCACATGACGTTCTTGTGGGCGCCCTAAGAAAAAAGTCAACCTCGTTCCAGGATGAACAAGTGTAGACGTCAATTTATTATACAATCTTCTGAAATAAGGCCACACACCTCCTAAAGGGACAAGAGTAAAGAATTTCATGTGCGTTCAATCAGTTGAGGTCAAAATCTAGGCATTTGGCCTTATATAGTTATAACCTCGGCATCTTTTTAAAGTGGTTTTGTTTATTAACGAATGTTGATTTAACAAAAGGACAAAAAGGACGATTTTGTCTATTTTTATCCTTTCTCGTAAACTTAACTTTAACAATCAATGGGACGTTGCTCCTGCAAACTTTACACAGTATACTGTCAATGAAATCTCAAATAAATGTCACAGGTGCTGAATAAATAATAACTTCACAGGAGCTCGGCCGAGGCTCGTAGAACCTTCGTCCGACACTGGCACGAAGCTCGCTCGAAGCACGCACGATTTAAAAAACTTTGCGCAAGTCGGGCGAGGTACGGAAGAGGGTCGCCCGAATATTTCGCGAAGCTCGCGCGAGGGTCGACCGTATTCAGCGACCGTCGCCCGATTTTCAAAGACGAAATACGGCAGAGACTCGTGAGATGTACGTCCGAATATCGATCGACTCTCGGCCGCACAAGGGCGAGCTACGCGCGAGCTGGAAACGAGCTCTGCGACGTCAAAAATCGCCGGCGACTAGTCGCTGATGTTAAGAACACGTTTCGCGTGTCAGCGAGCTTCGGCCGACTCCAAAAAATCGCCGGCGATCCCGAAAATTGCGCGATGCTCGACGGAAGATCGGCCGTACTACGGCCGTAAATGTCGTTTAGAGCTCGCCAACTAGTCGGCCGATCGATTTACGCTCAATGTGACGGGGGTATAAGGACATCACCTTCGTAACTCTGTAGCATCATCTCTGGGTCCATCGTAGATGGTCAGAAAGCTATAACCATACTCTGTGTAGAACCTGGCGAACGTGAGACGAATGATGCTTTCTTCTGGTACGATGATCAACCACCTGGCGTTTCCAATGTTGTCATAGTTACTGTAGTAGTCCCGTGACGTCGCAAGGCCTCCAGAGGGACCCGTAATGATATTTTCCACTGCAGAGTAAACGAGATATATTGCATGATGGAGGTTGCTTTTACCGAAGATTTATTAAGGTTTTCCTGCAAAATATAGGTTGTACTCTTTGCTTTATTGGTGGTATTTGGTAATGTTGAAAAAGTAGCGAATGCGTCATTGATCCCTTGCTTTACGCATGGCATGTGGAGAAAGATGGAGACTAGTGAAGTTTGAAATAGACCGTTTCTGCAACTTAAGCAACCAATCCAGTAAACTTGTATACTGTCAAACAGATATTCTATTCAAAAATATGTTATTTTTTACCTTCACACGTTGGTGCAGCATCACTCCATGTCCAGTTAGACAGGCAGGTTATATTGGCAGTTCCCCACAGATGATACCCGGCCATACAAGTGTACCTGACTGTCTGTCCTGATGTAAAGTTATTGTTGTTATCTCTTGTCCCATTGGAAGGGACACCAGGATCCCAGCATTCGTCTGCTGTACGGCCTAAATGAAAAAGAAGGTTGTGTGAATTTCATCCCTAGCAGTTAACGCTTCAAATAAAACACTAGTAGGATGAAGTATGCAAAAGGTTCTGTTGCATTTCAAAGATCAGCCACAGGGAAAACCATTATTTAACTTTGACCTGGGCGGCCTTTTCTAAGATCTACTCTCATATCAAATATCATCACAATTTAATTGGGCTACCTCTGACTGAACCATGGTTTTATAAGTTTTTAAGTTATGCCGGCTAGCCTTTAGCAGGCACCGCGGTTCGCTGAAAAAATAGTAGAAATTGGCCAAAAAAAGGAATAATATAACAGGAGAGTTGCAGAAAAAGATTTTTTACAGAGATTATAGAGCAGTTTATATTAATTAGTACATCGTGTAACAAAGTAAATTAAACGGTAAGAAGTGAAAAGGGTCATCAAAGACCTTACTTATGTAGGAGAACTGGAACCCCTGACTTGTATAACGGTCGTCAGGTGTGAACCTCAGTAACATCGTGTTAGATGTGCTGATGATGGGGCTGATTTCTTGATGGTAACCTGATAACCTGAACATGTAGAAGCAATAAACGATCAAGATTTTACAGAAACCATTGTTATATTAAGGCCTGTACGCTTCCTTTATTCATAATAAATCAGAGATTTTTAACTAGTGGCTTGACTAACACACAATCATCGATCATCACCATTGCTACATTTACATAGTTTGAAAGAAAGCGGGGCGTTTAAATGTGCTAAGGGCATCACCTTCGTAACTCTGTAGCATCATCGCTGGTTCCATCGTAGATGGTCAGAAAGTCAGAACCACCAGTATAGAACCTGGCGAACGTGAGACGAATGGTGCTTCCTTCTGGTACAATGATCAACCACCTGATGTATTCATTGTTGCCATGGTTACTAGGGTAGTTGGGTGACGTCACAGGGCCTCCAGAGGGACCCGTCATAATACTTTGTACTGCAGAAAGGTACACGATATATGTTGCCGGATAAAGGTTGCTTTTGCGAAGACATATTAACTTTTTTTCCTGCATAATATAGCCTGTACTATTTGCCTTATTGGTGGTGTTTGGCGATGATTAAAAAAAATCATAGTACGTTAGTAGCGAATGGGTCAATGACCCCTTGCTTTACGCATGGCGTGTGAATAAAGTTAGTGACTAGCGAAGTTTGGAATAGATTGTTTCTGGTTGCACATTTAAAACTCGGACATGTTTAATTCCGAACATTTACTATGAAATCAGAGCGAAATGGACAGGTTAACTCTAAGGGCCACGTAACACCTTGGTGTATCGCTAATGCGTATGGGTTGCGCACAGACAATTATGACGACACACACTACGCACTAGGGTGGCTAATGCACTTAGGCATGCCCTATATATAGGTCAGGCTAGCTAGACAAGGGCACATATTATCAATAAATATCTTCTTTGGAGACACCCATATCTTTGGCATGCGTTGGGATATAATTATGAGCTTTATTTTGTTAAACATAAAAATGGTAACTTTCTCTTTAAAATAGATTTAAAAAGCTGGTAAAAGATGAGATCCTTTAGAAACTGGTTAGCTATCAACTGGCACCCTACTGGGAGGTAATCCAAACAACCACTTTTGCCTTGGCCAGGGGTTTAAATAGAGGATTATTCACAGTTATCTGACCATGCTTGTATGGAGAAAGGATATTGCATTTTGTCTTTTTGAATATTGTTTGGTAATAATATAGTGTTAAAGTGTCATATATATAAAGAAAAGACCAGGAAATGTACTGTTTGTGTTGTCAAAAAAGTTCCAAAATTCCCCTTTAGTGCTCAAAAGCATGAGCCAATTATCGGTTATGTGTGTATGCAGTAAAATAGATAATCTAACCATAACAATAATGTATTTTTATTACCATCACAAGTTGGTGTAGCATCACTCCATGCCCCGTTAGACTGGCAGGTTATATTGGCAGTTCCCCACAGATGATACCCGGCCATACAGGTGTACCTGACTTTCTGTCCTGATGTAAAGTTACTGTTGTTATCTCTTGTCCCATTGGCTGGCACACCGGGATCCCAGCATTGCCCTGCAGTACTGCCTGGAAAGAAAAAAAAAAAACAACAGTAAAATGTTATAATCCCCTTCCTCGCTGTTGCATTATTCATTTAAAAAACTTTCAAACCAAAGATATCTTTGAGATTTCAAAGAAAATAAAGCAGTATGTATTGGACTGTACACCAAAGCATGTATCATGGTTACTGTGAAAGTGTAATCAAAGACCTTACTTATGTAGGAGAAGCTGAACCACGCATAGACGTAATAGTTGTCAGATGTAAACCTCAGGAACATTGTGTTAGATGTGCTGATAATGGGGCTGATTGACCTCAGATCACCTGTTAACCTGGACATTCAGGAATAAACAATAAATGTTATAGTAATTGGAACACCCTCGGCTTTAGGCTTGTTTTCGCAGGCTTGAATTGTGACCCAACTTGTCTAATTAAATTCTAAAATTTTCTAATGGTAAATGGCGAGAATCTTATACCCTTTGGACGTTAATGAACATAGACATCAGCAAACATAACATATTAAAATGGTGATCTTATTTCATAATCAATGAGGTAATAAAACATTTCTAATTCGTTATCATTTAAGGTTGACATGATTTGGAGAAGGTTTGAGGTCGTGGAACTCTGGTAACCTTCGCCAGAGGTTTTCAGTGCCTTTGTTTGTTTGTTTGTTTGTTTGTTTGTTTGTTTGTCTGCCTGTCTGTCTGTTAACAGCATAGCTCAAGAAGCTTTGGATGGATTGTCATCAAACTTGGTAGGTGGGTAGGCCTTGATTATCAAGTTGATGATACCTAGATTTGGGGCCCCCAGGTGGCTTTTGTTGCTAGGACTTCTGGTTTTGATATCTCATGATCTGATGGGCCACGAATTTTGTATGGTAGATAACTCTTGAGCTAAGGAAGAAGTGACATGAGATTGGCCCTCTAGCGGCCTGTCCTGGAATTGAAGGAGCGTTTAAAAAAACTTTACAGGAGGTGAGTTGAGTGAAGGTGAATATCATTCAACATGATTCATCAACGTCATTACCTTATTTGCATAATTTTATTTTGGGGGAGATTATAGCGTTATTTCGCACGATAAGACTGTCATTAGGTGGAGAATATGATGAAATGACATGGGTCCTAAAAACAAGGCTCTTTTTTTGCGATGTCATGGTAAAATATTGTAATTCGTCCACTGGAAGGGTTAGCACCATTTGGCGAAGTCATCGTGGAATTCTTGTTGTGACTGTTACGATAAGCCACAACAACTGCAATTTAGCCCGTCAGCTATGGAAGTGTACCTTAATGTCACCTAAACAATTTCTTCTTTAGGCTAAACGCTTTTACCAATGAAAAATCAAGATCAAGACCATAGCACGTTCAGGACAGAAGATACAAATACCGGAAGTTCTGCTGCATTACCAAGGATAACCTCTGGGGG